TAATCATTAAAAATCCAGGGAAAGATAATGGAAGAAAATAAAACATGCTCCTTATTCTTGAAATGAATATTCCCATTTTCCTACCACCCCCAACTTTTTGGATTCACATAAAAAGTATTATACAGTGTATTAAAAATAAGCAGTGCAAATGAAAGATAGGTAATTTAATTTGGAATAGCATTATGCGTAATGCTATAGTAAAATCTTATTTATCCTGAAGATATTTACCCAATATCTCCAGCCATTTCTAGTTCAATCACAAAGCAAAAATGCTTCCAGGAAGCATTTATTCATAGAGGGGACTCTCTCAGATCTCATTTACTCCTGATTCAGACAGTTCAAACAGTCTGTTAACAGTTCTGAGGTTTACTATCCTGTGAAAATTGAATAGAGGCAACAAATTGGAAAAGGGGTAAGAAGCCTATTACAAACAGGGAGGCTGACAGTTCCAAGAATTGAGAGCTTTTAGTGTAAAGCTGTTAGAAGTAGAAGAAAAGCAAACATAAAAGCAGAAAGAATTTTAAGAGTTGTTTTGGAATTCTTGTATTTATTTATTTATTTGTTTATTTTTTATAAAGATGACTGGTAAGGGGATCTTAACACTTGACTTGGTGTCGTCAGCACCACGTTCTCCCAAGTGAGCTAACCAGCCATCCGTATATAGGGATCCAAACCCATGGGCTTGGTGATATTGGCACCACACTCTCCCAAGTGAGCCATGGGCCAGCCCTGGAATTCTTGTATTTAGTTCACTATACTCCAAGAATATGTAAGATTATCAGTATGTTATATCACAGCATGGTAATTGATTTATAATAGTAACCTGAGTATTATTATTTTTTAATTTTATTTTGCAGCTGGCCCGTAGGGGGATCCAAACCCTTGACATTGGTGTTACAACATGGTGCTGTAACCAGCTGAGTTAACTGGCCAGCCCTTGAATATTATTATTATTATTTTTTTGTCTTTTTCCGTGTCCGGCAACGGATCGCAACCCTCAGTGTCGCCCCCGTACCGGACCGGGACGGGCAACGGGATCGCAACCCTCGGTGTTGCTCCCGCGCCTCGCTCAGCCAGTGAGCGGGAACCGGTCTGTATGTGGGATCCGAACCCTCGGGCGGGAGCGCCGCCGCGCTTCCCAAGCGGCGCACTATCCAGTGCGCCACCGGGCCGGCCCTTGAATATTATTTTTAAAAGTAAATTCTACTAGGCAAACTGTAACAAGACAGGGATTTTTATTCACAAAAGAAAGGGCAAATTATGCTGGATAAATAAGGGAAGCATTGTCATACCTTAAATATTAGATATATTTTCTTATCCTTTAACTTTTGCAAAGGGTCTGTTTATCATCAGAGGTTTTGCTGTTGCTGAAGATCACAGGTTGGCTTATTAATGCTGCAGATTCTCAAAAACAAAAAAGATCATTGATGACTCAGAAGCATACATATGTGACTGCAGAAAAAAACCCTTGCATCTCTGTTCTTGCAGGAATTCTTTGCAATTTGCTTGCAGAATTTGATTCTCCTCCTTAAACTGTTGTGATTGCTTTGTACAGCCTGTAAATAATTTACACCCTGATGGTACTAAATGACTACATTAATGGCACCTCTGTCTCCACATGATATCAAAAACTTTAATAATTCATCATTTATTACAGCTACATCCCTGTAGATTAGCATGAATGGGAGATGAGTTTACAATGCTGAAATAAAGCCTCTCTGAGACCTTTACTCTTCAATTATCATATCCCTAAATATTCAGATATTAGTGGTGTTAGAAAATAAAGGAAAGATTGTAGACTATTACAAAGCAAGACTCGTTAGGTTATGGTTATCAAGCATTAGGTTACTTCAAGTTCTGAAGTACTCTTTAGGGATATTTCAAGGAGAAAAAGCTTTGGAAGATCTCTGTTTCAGAACTCTAGCTTTAAAAAAAGCAGACAAACTATCATTAGCTTATGCAAACTAAATGGAATTAATGATTGGACATTGGGAAGAATAGAGGGACTTCAATTTAAAAATTTATCCAAAATCTTCATGTAAGAGCTTTACATTTAATAATTTGAAGTCTTCAAATTTGTCTTCTCCAGCCCTTTTGGAGTACTTTAAAAAAAGAAATAGGAAAGGCATGCTTATGGGGAACAAGAGTGTGTCTGTACACTCCTGTATGCACAAGTCATATAATTAAATTCCAGAGTAAAATTTAGGTATAAAAGTTAATTTACCCATTTCCAGTGAGGGGGAACAGTCTAGTTGATGTTGAATTTGTTTATAGTTTTGGAGTGACTCTACCTCTGAGAACTGTAAGTGTTGTTTTGGAAAAAGAAGGTTACTAAGTTGACAATGTTTGTAACCCTAGCATTTAGCAGAGGTGTCTGGCACATCTTCCAATAAACGTTTATTGTATGAATCCCTGATGATCAGATCAATCCTTGTAATGCTAGTTAGACACCTACTGTTTTGATAACTTAAGCTGTACTGGTTTATACTAGTTGCTTCCTATGATAATATTACTTTGGGAATTTATTTCAGTTCACCTTTAGTAGTTTTTAATTTCATTTGATGCGGATTTGTTTCAGGAGGGTTCAAAGAGCATGATTATGTGGGGTTCTGATCTATGAGACTGTTTCAAAGTATATATCCTTAAGACAGTATCCTGTAGAGAGGCTTCAAAGTATTTCAGGTATTCTTTGGGTTTTCCATTGAAAAGCCAATGGGTTTTCAGACATAAAGAGAAAATAACTTTTTCCCCAAATAGAGACTCTGTATAGTTTTTGCTAATAATACAAAGTTGTTTATGCCATGTATAAATTGAGTTTAATTTTATTGCTTTAGAATTCCTTAATAATGGGTTTTTTAAAAAAATGATTATCTTGTCAGTGATTATCTATGGCAATGATTGACATCTGTGGGAGAACTATAGGGGATGAGTAAAGTCAAGAGTTACACTGCCAGTGATGATTTAGGGTTTGGAAAGGCATTATGAACCCTGTTATGGTTAAAATGAAAGTCTTTAATCTGTAAGGGGGAGAAATGCTAAATCTTAGCAGTCATGAGATGTAAAATTAGATTATACTATGCTAGCCTGCTGTACAGATGATATTAGGTCTTCATTTGTCAGACCAGCCAGCTTGGGGCAGAATATGGAATCAACTTAAAGTAGAGTAGTTGAATTTCTGCTGGAATTGAAACATCACCACAAAACAACAACAAAACACATCTTTTCTCTTGTATGAAATTCTATTTGTTTAGTCACAAGTATGAGTTGGATGAAAGTTTCTGAATATAAGATTTTTATGTGGAGTGAATTCATATTTTTTCTCTCTCTCTCTTTTCTTTTTTTGGTTCCAACCATGACAATTCAGTGTTTTATTACAACCTGGTTTCCCAATGCATATGTTGGGCAATTGGGGTCTGTATTAGTCTGTTTCTGTTGCTTATAACAAAATACCTGAAACTAGGTGATTTATAAAGAAAAATGAAATGTACTGCTTACAGTTTCTGGGAAGTCTAAAGTTCATCTGGTGGTGGCGACAGTGACTCAGGGGTCTCACAGTGCAAAATGGTGGAAATAGAGAGAACAGAGCCATATTTTTATCTCTTGTATTTCCCAACACACTCCTCTACTCATGAGTGCCCTTGAGCTGATACATCATGCCAGACACCTTGAAATAAAGGCTTTAGAACTTCTGAGGAAAAGTGATAGTTTAACCTACTCTTAGTTATATAATGATGTAAATTGAACTCTTAAATGAAAGTGGCCAAGTTTTACAGATGGGCAGGCAAGAATCTAGCTGAGAACAAATTGTTCGTCGGTGATAGAGACATTATTCAAACCTGCATGTATCTGACAGCTGCCTGTGGTGGCACAGTGAGATAAAGTGATCTGTAATGTTTCTCTAGTGTGTCCCTATTGCTAGCATATTGTAATATACCGTACATCTCTTGGGCAGACAGCTTGTATGGGCTGGATTCCACTTTGGCCTTGTAAAGATGCCAGGAAACACTAAAGTGAGTTTTTTAAAGCCTATTTAAATATTTAGATTCATGGCTAATTTTTGTGAAATCCCTATCTAAAAACTACTTGCTAGAGGTAAGATGGGATTTTGACTTTATGGCTTCCCCACTTATTAGTTGTGTGACCTTGAATTGACGAGTTATTAATCTCTGTGCCAGTTTCCATATTAGGAAAGTGAGGATTGTAAAAGTATTTGCCTGGTAAGGTTGTTGTATGGATTTAACCAGTTAATATGTGTAAAGTGCATAGAAGGGTGCCTGGCACTTAATAAATGTTAGCCAAAATTATCATCACCGTCATCATCAACATAATTTGGGGTGAGATTAATTTCCCTCTCCTGAAGCTAGATTGCTTTTTTTAAGGAATACCATATCTCTGTAATGATGTGGTCAACTCCAGTTTTAATATAGAAGCTCATCATCTTGACTTGTGAAATCTATCTTCAAATTTATTTACAGCTAATTATAATATAATATTATATAATTACCACAATTATTATATATATAAACTATGCAATGTTCTAAGATGTATTGTTAAGTGAAAAAAGCAAGGCGCAAAACAGTGTGTAAATTATTCTGCCATTTGTGTAAAAATTTGCTGGTACATACATGAAATATCTGGAAGGCTGCACCAGAAATGGCATATTTTCATTTGTTGCTATTGGGAAGGGGAGTTGGGTGGCTGGGGACAAGGGTTGCAGACTTTTTTTTACAGTATATCCTTTTGTACTTTTTGATTATTGAACCCTGTGAATGTATTCCCTAATTTGTAAAAAATGAAAACAAATTTAATTGTAAAATAGCTATTTTAAAATCTAGATAAATTTTTATTCATCCTTTATAAACATTTCTTTTTGTCTGTACTATTCAAATTCACATTTAATAGGACTTTTAGTATTGCTATTTTAGTTTTGGGTTTTTTCTCTTTGCATCTACTTTCTAGCACTTAACTAAAAATGATATTTTGTCTTCTTTCAGGGATTTGAGTCATAATCGGTTGTCTAACTGGAACATCAGCCTGGAATCACAAACATTACAGGAAGTGTAAGTTATTTTTATTTATATAAAGTTATGTTAAATTCCTTGAGGTGATTTATTAAATTGTGAATTTGTAGATATTCAATCCAAAAATGCTGTCAAAAAGTTGAGGGAAAATTTTTTTTAATTAAAAGCAATTTAAAAAAAACCTGAACTGTTGCCTTTTGCTTTGTTATTATCACAGACTCTCTGGGCATTTGGTTAGTGATTTCAAGTTGCAAACTGTGTAAAAATATTATTCTACTTTCCTGGGGACAAAAGTTAGATTTCTCCCCTCTTGGGGTAAATATATTTTGTTTGGTTTTTTTGGCCAGGTTTTCAGCCAGTGAAACTCTGTGTTGTGTAAACTTTTTAAATGTCTTGACCTGTCATCTAAGATGGAAGCATTTTGTCTAAAGAAGATTAGTATGAAATAGGGTATTTTGGGTATTATTTGAGAATGTGGCAGTTAATATAATTCAATTTTCCTCTTAACTGAGGTTTTTCCTTTAATACTGTAATGTATTATGTAATTTTGGGGGGAATTTTCTAAAATATTATTAATATCAGTTATTTGCATTGTGATATTTCCAGGGGCACAACTATCAAGGTATATAAGCCTGTTTGCCTCTACACTAAAAACCCCCAGGACCCTCAGATTTCTTTTTCTTTTTTTTTTTTTTTTTGTGGCTGGCTGGAAAGGGGATCTGAACCCATGACCTTGGTGTTATGAGGCTGTGCTGTAACCAACTGAGCTAACCGACCAGCCTTATTTTTCTTTTTAATTCTTTGCTAACGGGTAACTTTTTTGTGCTCTCACTGTCCTTACATTCTCTCCTTCCTGCCCCCAAATTTACTTCTTCTAATCTGTTGAGAATAAACTGAATAAATAGTTGACAAGTTTGTTAGCTGGAAGATTAGGTAGGCACTGAGCAAAGGCCTGAAAATGCTTCAGTGGAAGGTGCATGAGCTTTATTACATGAACTTTGTAACTTAAGTTTCTTGAAGGCCTTTTACTTCTTGTATCTTTTCTGTATTATAGATTGCTGAATTGTTCAGTGATTGAAAACCAGGTTAATAAAATGTGATTATATTAGATTTGCTACTAAAACGCTTGAGGCAATCTGTTGAAGAGGCTGTTGAGATCAGATGCGATGTCATGTTATCTATAAAATTAACTATAAGTTCCATCTCGGGGTGGGCAAATTAATTTCATCTGTGGTCTCAGGTGACATTCCTTAACTTTGAATAGTTTAAAAATATATGTGTATATAAGCACATATATATGTATATATATATGGAGAGAGATCTGGATGGCCCAATTTTTCCTTCTGTGTTTAAGGACTCACATTAGCTGTCCTAAATGTAACTATTCACTCTAACGAACTGAGCTAACCGGCCAGCCTCTAATGTAACTATTCAAAGAACCTTGCTGGGACTAACAATATTTAATGTACAAAATGTTTTCTAGCCTTTCTAATATTGATATCAATAATATGTTAACACTATGAAAAGGATTTCTTATTAAAATCTCTAATTTCTCAATAAATATATTTTTATCTCAGTCTAACTCATTCTGAGTTGTAGGTTTTTTCAAACTTGTGTATTAGCCAGTAAAAAAAAACAGAATTCAAAAGATAACATTTCCCTCACTAAACTTTTAAGTCTATTTTCCCCCTTGCCTAGGAAAATGAATTACAACGAGCTAACAGAAATCCCATATTTTGGAGAACCAACATCTAATATTACTCTACTTTCATTGTAAGTAAATAGGATTTCAGATCTTTTACTTAAATTATGAGCAATACACAGTTTTTTTTTTATTTTAAATACCCAAATTAAGTACCCATTTTATTTTGAGTACTCATATTTAACATCCTTTTGGCCTGGGGTAGATAACCGGCAGCAGCTTCAATGTAATCTTTGTTTTGTAGAGTCCATAATATAATCCCAGAAATAAATGCAGAGGTGTTCCAGTTTTACCCTGCTCTTGAGAGTTTAGACCTCAGCTCAAATATTATATCAGAAATCAAGACATCTTCATTTCCGCGAATGCAGCTTAAATACCTGTAAGTAAAGTTTAAATTAGATTTACTTTAAAGTGTGTTTAATAATTTATTGATACCTGTCTTCCCCAAAATGTCTGTTATTTTTATATGCATATGTGAAACAAACCTAGAGTCAGTTTTTTGGTTTGCTGAATTTTTGTCTCCCCCTCATCTACACCCCCCAAAAAGAAAGAGTACACTATTGTCGGAAAATATTGGTAGGCATCCAGGGTAATTTTTGAGATTTAATACAGCAGTTTTTTTTTTTTTTTACCAACAGTTTTGTAAAAGGTAAATAGGAGTGGTTTGTTAAGCAGTGGCTTACCTTATATAATGATGGTAATTAACATGTGTGCCAGTGTTTTCCAGTTTACAAAGCATGTTCACACATACTGCTTCATTAACAATCTAAATGAAGTACGTATCACCCTAGTTTTGTAGATGAAGATACAAAGCACCCAAATGATTTGTGAAGTTGTATATAGTTGTTAAGTGATAGAGCTGGGGCTTAGGCAAGGACTTTGAACAGCTTCACAATGGTAGAATTTATTTTACTTAATTTTTTTCTTTTGCTGTTATCTTGCTCATTTTAGGAATTTGACTAATAACAGGATAACCATCTTGGAGGCTGGTTGTTTTGATAATTTATCGAGTTCCTTATTAGTGGTAAAGTTAAACCGGAACCGAATTAGCATGATTCCCCCTAAGATCTTCAAGCTACCTCACCTTCAGTTCTTGTGAGTAACTAAATAGATGGATTATTAAAAGATAGTTATTCCTTACAGTGTCTTTTTCTTTTTAATTATTGTTGTAAAAATTCAGCAAACCAATATTTTGACTGTAAAACTATTTTTGTTAAAGGGAACTTAAAAGGAACAGGATTAAAATTGTGGAAGGTCTTACATTCCAAGGGCTTGACTCCTTAAGATCTTTGAAAATGCAGCGGAATGGAATTAGCAAACTTAAGGATGGAGCATTTTTTGGCTTGAATAACATGGAAGAACTGTAAGTACAAGGAACTAGAATAGGGGATTATTAGGAAAAGAGTTTGTCAAGTACTTTTCAATGCCGAGTGGCTAGGATAGTTGCTTTAATTACACAGAGGTACATTAGTTATTTCTCCATTCTCTGATGTGAAATAAGTGTACACAAGACTTTTTAAGTTTTGTTAGCTAACTGGTCTTTTTATCACTATTCTTACAAACTCCTCATCTAAAAAGTTTACATTCCCTTAATGTTTTGGCTGATGAAAATTAGCAGAACTTATACAGAATACTATACCACTTAACATGTTGATTTTGTAGACCTGATATTTTAGACAGTCTTACTACCTTGTAGCACTAAATCTTAAATAAGATACAAATATTTTTTGAATAGAATTTGTCAGCTCACTTGTGTTGAACAAAAGTATGTGCCTCTCTGAGAAAGAGTTAATGAAGATTAAAACTGTACTTGTCATTGAAATGCCTTGTTTTGAAACATATTTTTTCCTCTCTTTCCTTAATACTGCAGAGAACTGGAACATAATAATCTTACACGAGTGAACAAGGGGTGGTTATATGGCTTGCGAATGTTACAACAGCTCTATGTGAGCCAGAATGCTATTGAAAGAATCAGCCCTGATGCATGGGAATTCTGCCAAAGACTATCTGAACTGTGAGTGATGGATGGCATTTCATTGGAGGCTGTGAGACTAGAGCAGGTTGGAATAAATCATTCCCACGGCCAATAATGAGATGTAACATCTCTCTTTACTAGAAGTTTGTTGAAAGCTTTGAAATTATCCTGTAAATATAATAAGAATTTGTAAGTTGAACCAAAATACAATGAATTCCTTATCTTCCATGTTTCCTATTTTTAGTGATTTGTCTTATAACCAGCTTACCCGCCTGGATGAATCTGCCTTTGTGGGTCTGAGCTTACTGGAGAGATTGAATTTAGGGGACAACAGAGTCAGTCACATTGCTGATGGTGTGTTTAGGTTTCTTTCCAATCTTCAGACACTGTAAGTACATTCACCCTTTCTGTGTGTGTGTGCATACTAGTTTTTTAATGCAATAAAGCAAATTAAAACAAGTAATCAATCTGCAAGTTTATATATGCTAATATTTTGTGATTGTTTTTGTCCTTTTCCTTGGGGCATAATAATCTTATTCATCTTTATCCCTGTAGATAAATCTTATTTATCTCAAGCCTATAGTAGGCAATTCAGTTTGTAACAAAGCCTCTCTTACTGTGCCAGTTGCTGTGGAATAAAACACAGTTTGCTAGTGTCAAGAATGCAGTCATTTTTTTGTTCCTGTGACCTTGACTATGCACCAGAACTACTAGTTCTCATTCAAAAGGATGCAGGATGCATAGTGGGAAGGACATAGGATTAGATGGTTGATAAAGGTAATTTCTTCTCTAAAATTCTGTGGTTCTGTAAGTTCAATGTTTTATCCTGATTATGGAATATAATTTTATTGAATGAAGAGGTATTTTAATGAAATACTTATAGTAATCTCAAAGATGAACAGAATAAGAGAAAGCTAAGAATAACAAATAGAATTTATAGATTCTTAAGTTCCTGAGTAGGGCACTTTGTGATGATCAGGTTCAGAGTTGATAGGTGGTTTCAGAAAAGAGGCAGACTTCCAACTTTGGGACCTTAGTATCAATGAAAAGGAAAGCATAACGATTTTGAGAAGGTGTATATACATGCACAAGTGTGTGATTTTTTTTTTTTAAACTTCAGATTTGGTCTTGAAAAATTAGAAGTTTTAATTTTTATTTCCTTTTTGTACATTATCAGAGGTGAAACTAGATTAATGCAAATTCAGAAACTTACATCAGGTGCAGCTGCAGCCTTTTAGCAATTGAAGGGATGGCAAACAAGTTCTTTCAGTATACTACTGAATATTACTTTTAGAATTAAATTTTAGGAAAGCAATTGCAGAAGTAAACGGTTGTTTAATGCCACAGAAATAATTAAGACAGAATTAGGATCAGATCTGAGAAACTCTGGCGTTAGCCCAGTGTTCTCTTGCCAGAGTAAATATATTTCTTACTCAATTTGGTGAACGATTTTTATTTGTGCTGTACTGTGAAGGAGGGGGCAAGTCCTGAAGAGTTGAGCCACTGGTTGTTTTCATGTTTATTCCTTAGTGAAATAAAATGAGCTTTGTTAGCTTTTCACTTCAAGTAAAGATAGCTAAGCAGGAAGAAGGATCTTCTATTTGCTTACTGTTAGTCACACAACTTTACCTTTGCCTTATAAAGCAAAAATCTTTGTGCTTTATTTTATTATGAGATAGCTTAGGGAAGCGAAAGTGATTGAATATTTTTAATTGGTATTTCTTCCATCAGCACATGGTGTGGTACAATTGCATTTCCTCTGAGAATGGAACAGTGGATTTTAAAAGATCCATACTTTTCCTTTTAAAGAAAATATAGTGACCACTCTAATACATGGGTATATCATACTTGCTTCCCAGGGGACACATTTAATTGCTCTTGAGCTTTGAAGCTCTGTATTGATATTACTCTTTGTCAGCCATTTTAAGTTTAAGGGCCCAGGGGAAGTCTTAGGTCACCCAGAAATCCCATTAGTCTGAGATCAGATTTGTAGGCCGTATCCCCTACATCTTGAATCCTCCTGTTTTTTACAGGACTCTGTCTATAATTTTTAACATGCTAACACAATTAAGGCTGTGAGCTAGGAAGATTAATATTCTTTTTTTTTTTTTTTTTTTAACTGACTGGTAAACGGGATCGCAACCCTCAGTGTTGTGCCTGTACCGCGCTCAGCCAGTGAGCGGGAACCGGTCTCCACATGGGATCCGAACTCTCGGCGGGAGCGCCGCCACCCTCCCAAGCGGCGCACTCTCCAGTGCGCCACCGGGCCGGCCCGGAAGATTAATATTCTTAGCAGGTTGCTTTATTTATTTATCAAGGCCAGCTCAATTCTTAGCTTATGAGAATCAGTTCTTACATGTTTATCACAGATATTCCTTAAAAAGCAGAATTGTGTCTTCATTATAAATAACTGTTAAAATAAGGACCAAAATTAGTATGTGGACCTTGACATTGCCATGCCAGGATGCTGCCCAATAGTGTGATGGTTGTTGACTAACCTAACCTGTCTCCATGACATTTTTGTAGAGACTTAAGAAACAATGAAATTTCATGGGCCATAGAAGATGCTAGTGAAGCCTTTGTTGGACTCACAAGTCTCAATAAATTGTATGTATTTATAATATTTATGTATGTCTACAAAAGTGTATTTTCAAGAAATAGTTGTAAATGTAATTGGATTATTGTTTATTTGATATGTCTGGAAAGGCTGAGCCTTCTGACCCATCTGCTGGAGGAAAGAGCTTTGTTTTTTATCATGTAGGTTGTTTTGGGTTTTTTTTTGTTGGTGGGGCACCTTTCATTGAAAAAACATTCCTATGGGCACTTAAAGAGAAGCTATTTATGAAAGTAGAATTTCTATTCAAGTAAAATAAATGCATTGAGGGGCTGGCCCATGGCTCACTTGGGAGAGTGTGGTGCTGATAACACCAAGGCCACGGGTTCAGATCCCTGTATAGGGATGGCCGGTTAGCTCACTTGGGAGAGTGTGGTGCTGACAACACCAAGTCAAGGGTTAAGATCCCCTTACTGGTCATCTTTGAAAAAAAAAAAAAAAAAAAGAAATGCATTGAGAAAGTAGAGTTGAACTGGTAATCTGAGTAATTTAGTAGAAGGAGAAGATTATCTCAGTAAGATTTTAGATCTTCTCCCATGAGACGAATTTCTCTAAAGATTGACACTTTTCTGAATTTCTTTGATGTGATGATCTTTTGCTAAGAAGGGAGAGATGGGGAATATAATCCAATTTTAGCATATAAAAACTACCAGTTTATCGTGGTGGGGATGGTTGTTCAGAGGTATGTGATTGAGCTCCAACGTGTTAATGGAACATGCTATGCTTTGCATTGGTTAATAATGAAAGTTTATAACTTTCTTAAAAATGCATGTTCTCATCAAATTTTACACATTACATATGTGTAGTTCTTTTTTTTTTTTTTTTTTTTTAAAGATGACCGGTAAGGGGATCTTAATCCTTGACTTGGTGTTGTCAGCACCATGCTCTCCCAAGTGAGCTAATCAGCTAATCAGCCATCCCCATATAGGATCTGAACCCATGGCCTTGGTGTTAGCAGCACCGCACTCTCCCAAGTGAGCCACGGGCTGGCCCTATGTATAGTTCTTTGTACGTCACTTATATCTCAAAGCTGTTAAAAAATACAAAAAAAATTCATGTTAAGCTTATTTTCACCTTTTTTAGGTAAATGTTCGATTTAATGAATTTAATTTTGCTTAGTGGAGAGCATTATTAGAAAGGTTTGTTTGTATTTCAGAATCTTACAAGGAAACCAGATTAAGTCTATTACAAGGAAAGCATTCATTGGTCTTGAATCCCTTGAGCATCTGTAAGTATTTTACACACATTTTGCTCATTATATAAATAATCTTTGCTATTAGCAGAGGTTTTCATGACCATTTGAAGTGTTTATATAACTTAATGTAGAAACGGTGACTAGTAATGTTTCATTTCTCTTTTCAGAGATTTGGACAACAATGCTATAATGTCTATCCAAGAAAATGCTTTTTCTCAAACTCACTTGAAAGAACTGTAAGTAACTTAAGTCTTTTTTTTTTTTTAATTACCAGTTATATCATTATCCATGCTTGTTGTGCTTAAAAGTGTGGTGAGAGTGACCCAGAATATTTCCAAAAGCATATAATTCAGGGAGTAAAAAAGAAGGTACTAAAACTCAGGTATTTTAGTGGCTGGATATAATTTTAAAATAACCTAACATTGAAAAGTCCATAGTGTGTGGCACCAAGACCTGTTTTGCCTGTGCTGCCAGTGCTTATAATTAGGAAACCTTAGCTCTGCTCCTTGTGCTTTATGTAAACTCCAGTGTCTTTTTTTGGTTTTTTTCTCTATTTCTTTTTGGACTACAAGAAACATGTGTTGCCAATTCTTACCCCTTGGATGGGTACAATTAAGGTATTATGTAATTTTGTTTAGTTTCTGACATAATCTACCACTTTCAGTATAATTGCCAGAGAGGATATCTCTAACCTGTTCAAACTATTAAAATGTTCAAAAACTGTTAAATAGCTGCATTAGAAAAAAACTTATTTTATACCCTCTTTTACTCATGATTTTTACAAATTGCTCTTATTGGTTTAGAGATTTTCCTGGGGGAAGGAGCTTAGCTGGACATTGGTATTAATTTTAAACTCTGGTTATTCAAATATGCAGCCAAGGGTAAGAACCACTGGACCATAACAATTCATCTCACTTTAGCTGGAAGCTACTCAAAGGATGGTATGTGGACCAGAGCTGGTTCATGACCAATAAGGATAGAAATTCAGAATAAACATTTACCTTTTAGAACAATTTGACTTTACTGTGACACTTGTTGTAGTTTATAAAAGTATTGGTCTGAGTGGACTGGAAATTTTAAAAACTGATTCTTACCACATGGTTTGAGATGTACTGGAAATGTGTGTTTTCAAACTGCCTAGGTTCAGATCCTTGCTCCATTCCTTACAGTGGGCAAATTATTTGGCCTAAGAGTTTCTCTTCTCAACAAGGAAATAGTACTTCTCTCAGGGTTATATGAAGATAAAATGAAATAATTTGTTTACCCACATATTTATTCATTGTCTTCTATGTAAGGTACTGTTCTGGATGCTGGAAACAACAGTGAGTAAGACAGAGTCTCTGTTCTCATAGCATATTATGATAAGGTCTAGTAAGGAAGATAGTTAATAAGCCAGCAGACATGTAATATCTTATCAGATAATAAGAGTTCTGAAAAAAAATAAAACTAGGTAAATTAGGTGAAAGGTATGGAGAGTGACAGGGATTGTTATTTTAGATAAAGTGGTGAGGGGATTTCCTGTACTGGCAAGCCACGAAAAAAGAATCTTTAAAAAAACAAACAAAAGAAAGTAGTGAGGGGAAACTCTTCTGAAGATATAGCATTTGAACCAGGACCTTAATGAAATGAAATGGCGAACTGTGTGAATACTGGGTGAAGGACTTTTCAGGCACAGGGAAGAGCAAGTGAAATGGGGTCAGAGTTAAGCAGGATCGTGTGGGGCCTAATAGGCCATGAGGAATTAGGATTTTTTTTTTAAATAAATGATTAGGAAACATTGGAGGGTTTTGAAAAAATGTTCAGCACAGAGCCTGGCACATAGAAAAGATGAATAACTAATATGAACAACGAAAGTAAAACGTTATAAAGATCATTATTAGTTATTTACTGTCAGATTTTTAAAGTGGCTTTGGGTTTCTTTTTCTTCTTCTTTTTCTTTTTTTGTTTTTTGGTCTGTTGAGATATTTTGAGTTATTTCTCATAGGCTTAGTTTAATTTGTAAGGGCACAACTTACTGCAAATCCTTTTTTTTTTTTTTCTTCACAGTTACCTTTTTTTGCCCATGATAATCTGAGGGCCAGCAAGAAAGTTTTAAGTATTGTTATGAGAACCCAGTTTAACATATAGGTAGGTGAAAGCAAATACTGTAGTTTCAGTCTTCAGAGAAACATTTAGTAATTTGGGAGTTGTGACAAAGATTCTTTGCTTGACCAAACTTTAGTCAGGCTCCTGAATTTTCTCTTAGGCCTATCTGTGCACTTTCTTGTAAAATCCAGTTTTAGCAAGAACCCTCGTACCCTTGATACCTGGTAACCCTCAGTATCTTCAGATTCTTCACCCTACACTATTTGCCAGATGATGTATGATCACCCTGGCCTGTCTTCAGCAAGAATTTTGTTAGGTTGATTTAGCCAGAGTCCCTTTCCCCTGATGTTTCTTCTTAGTAATTTTTCATCCACCTACCCCACCCTGCTCCTTGTCTATAAATTCCTGCTTGCTGATGCTGCATGTGGAACTGAACCCAATCTTCTCCCCCACTGCAAAAATCCCATTGCCATGATTCTTTCACTTATTGCTATGGTCTTGAATAAAATCTGCCTTAGCAAGTATCTTTAACAAATATCACTGAGTAATTTAACATGCTTTGCAAGTAACACTTTAACAAGCGATGCTTTAATAATTATCACTGAGTAGTTTTTTCTTTAACAGTTATAGTGCTGTGATTTGCATAGGATCAGATTCATCATTGGACCCCTGGGCCTCTCACCCAGGATCCCAAGTGTGCACTTTTGAAGCCTTTGTCTTCACTTCTGACTGATTGATTGGGGATCCAATGGTGAATTAGACTCATGAACCATTGCTCCGGACAAATGTCTGTTGAAGCTGGTAAGGAAAGATTTTGGTTCTTAAGGTTCCGAGTATGTTCTCCAAAGCTGGGTTAGAGTCCCAGGCTTCTTTTGAAAGATACCTCCTGCACTGGAAGGTCTTCTTCCTGGCTCTCTTTCCTGAGTGGGAATTATTCCCTGACTCCTTGGGCAGGTATTCTTCCTGGCACCTTGTGAGGCCTTTCTGTTCTCTCTATTGGATCCCGCTTCTCGCATGGGAACTTCTCTGTTACCTGAATTCCCACTTCTAGAACTCCTGCTGACTATAAGCTCTGTCAACCCTGTCTATGGCCTTCTTGTTGGAACTTCATTGGCCTCTTTGAGAAACTCAAGATCTTCCAAGCTGGTTCTTCTAAGAACTCTCCCTTCCCATTGCTACTGCTCCTTCTTCTTTCTGTTACTATCTTTAATCTTCCCTCCAGTTCCCTGGAATCCTTTGATATATTCCTCTTCAAATTTCTACCTTCCCTCTCTTCATTCTTGCCAGACTTTTTGTTTCCCACTCCAGTCTCTCTCAGTCACTTGAACTTTAGGTCCCTACTTTCATTGGGGGCTCTCAGGGGACTTGGAGACCCCTAAAAGCAACACCTGAGGCTGAAAAGGAAAAAGGCTAACTGGTACTAGACTAAATATTTACCTAGATACTTTTTACTACATTTACTCAGATGAGGTTTGGAGCTATCCAGATAGCCCCTACATGTCTCTCCAGCCTCCATGAGATAACATATCTCAGCACAAAAGAAAATCTTGAAAGTTTCTTCCACAAATGTTGGTAAATAGGTAACCTTAACTTGTCCCATTTTTGTCAGAAACAAGATTTGGATAAAAATATAGAGTGGAGAAAAGATGAGAGCTGGGCCGGCCCGGTGGCGCACTGCTACAGTGCGCCGTTTGGGAGTGTGGCGGGGCTCCCGCCGAGGGTTCGGATCCCACATGCAGACCGGTTCCCGCTCACTGGCTGAGCGAGGTGCGGGAGCAACACCGAGGGTTGCGATCCCGTTGCTGGTCCCTGTCCGGTACGGGCGCGACACTGAGGGTTGCGATCCGTTGCCGGTCACGAAAAAAGCAAAAAGGAAAAAAAAAAAAAAAAAGATGAGAGCTAAACTGCTTTATATAAACTAGTGAGTTAATGTTACTGTGTTTTTCTGACTCATGGCTGAAGTTTTAGAATGAAAGCTATAAGATCTCTGTGTCATCTGTATGTTTATGTGTGAGCATATATGACGGTACTTCAAAAAGTTTATAGAAAAATAGAATTAAAAGACAATACAAATCTTTCCATGAACTTTTTGAAGTACTCTTGTTTGTATGTATTTATGTATATGTGATTTTTTTTTTACTTCTGGATGGTATTACCAAATTAATTTATAAAATTTCTTAAAGGAGTTTTAGTCAAATTGTCTTAGAGATAAATGAACATTTATATAAATTAAATAATCCTAAAATTCCCAGAAGTATAGAAATTAATCCAAGTTCACACAATTTGGGTAAATCTTTCATAAATAAGGTTAGTTTAATATTCTTAGTCTAGTAAAGACAGCTATGTCTTCAGAATTGTTAACAACTAATGCAGACATGCAGTTTTATTCTACTTGGGTTTACTAGTCAAACAAGCATCTACTAGATGTTTAAGATTATGAAACTATAAATCCAGCCTAAGAACAAAATGTACAATAAAATAAATTGCTTGATCCATGTCTTGTACGGCAGTCAAAAAAAGAGAGAAAAGAGCCATACGTTTAACTTTTTAGGTTTTTTGCATTTGTGATATTTTTGATACTTGCCTAATTATTCAACAAAAAAAATAATTAAGGTGATGGCTAGTTTTAACATCTCGTAAAATTTCCATGAGCAGTTCAAGCATAGTTATGAACAAGTGAATTAAGTAGATATAAGTGGGATAAAAGTTTATAAATGAATTTTTCAACAATAATTACATTTTATGAAAATGTCTACTTAAAAAATAGTTTCAAACATTTTTGGTAATATGAAACTTTTTTACACTGCTACATGATGAATATTCATTGAATATCTTGATCATTTTCAAATAAGATAAAATACTGAAGCATTAATTGTTGAACATAAATTTAAATTTCTTTACTTATGGCTTCCTAAATTTTACAGAAATACAAAGCGTATTTGAATCTGTTAGTAGACATATCCCGTGCCACACTGAAAAATTGTACTATGAGGAAGCATATACTTTTTGAAATTATGAAATGGTATATTTATGACTTTGTGAATCTACAGAATATTGGTATATGACAGTTCACCATTGCTTGCTTCCTGGTTTTTACGAGAAATTAAGATTACTAAGACTTAAGAATTCTTTTTATTTTTGGTACAAGAAG